ATATTTAAATATTATTTGAATTTAATATATTTGATATGAAAACTAGATAATTGCATGATGTTCGCAACAAAAAGTTTGCTTAATTATGCTCATATTATAAGCATAATTTTTAGATTGTACAATCNATTAAATTACTCCATTTCTCTACGTGTCTATTCTTGCATACGTATTTATATATTGATAATCTAGTTAAATTTTACTTACTCTCAAAAACTATAGTTAAATACTATCTAATGTAAATTATATTTTTACTCTTGTAGAGTAAATATTTGTATAATTTATTATAATAATATCCAATTCCTCCTGAAGACTAGAATTATAGATCTTGTTTGAGTCACATTATTTTCATAAGAATGAATTTTTTTAATAGTGTATTGATTGAAAATGTATGGTTAAAAAATAAGAAAAAGTTTTAAATTTGGGTGTAATTTATTTTATAGAATAATATGTGGTTGAAATGATATCAAATCACTATTTAAGAATGTATTTTTTGAAAGAAGATAGATCAATCAGGGCCATAATTTGTAAATTATAATAATATTTTATTGCTCCTGAAAAGAATAAATTATTAAATTATAACTTTTATTATTCCAAAAGAATATTGATATATTGCTATTAAGGAAGCGATGGTAAAATACAATGTGTTCTTAATAATAGCACATGTTTCGAGAATTATATCATTTTGAATTTGTGTTTATCCATGAAAGATAACATATAACTCATGTCATATTGACATTGATTAGTTTATCTACTTGATTGAATATTATACCCGTATATAATATTTGATCATATTCTTCAAAATTAGATGATTGACATATATCTTATATTGAACTAGAAGTTCAACTTGTCTTATTGTTTGACATAAGCAGTTAGACTATTATTGGATCAATAATCATGCGGAATTAAAAATTTAAATGGATATTCAATTGAGAACCAGTATATACGTCAATCCAATAAAATCAAATATGATGTTTGTTCTCTTTCATAAATTTTTTTTCATTAGTTATTATTAGCTAAAATAGGTATTGAATTCTCTATATTTCTAAAAATTAGTTAGGGTGACAAATGGGCCCTATCACCTAACGCGTTGAATATTTAAATATTATTTGAATTTAATATATTTGATATGAATACTAGATAATTGCATGATGTTCGCAACAAAAAGTTTGCTTAATTATGCTCATATTATAAGCATAATTTTTAGATTGTACAATCAAGAAGGTAAGTTACACTAATGCTAGTGTTGATAAATGGTTTAACACTATTATTTGTTAAATACCTACAATAAAATTAATTGAGAACAAAGTAGTTCTTATTTCTGTTTAGAGAATGTTATTATACATTATGTCAACATTAAGTTCTCTATATTATAATTGGCTTATAATCAGAGCATGTTTTCTTCATCTAATTATTTAATAGTGTAATATATGTACAAATAATCCACCACATTGTACTATGATGAAATGTAAAGAATACTGAGAAGAAATGGTAGTTTGAACCTTTATCTCAAGTATGTGATATTTCCAATTTATTGATTGTCAATTTTGATTGAACAATTCTTTCAATATTGGGGGGAGGAATTAAGAAGTAGAAAATGATTTATAAATGCATCTCTATCTAAATCCTCACAAAAGATAATTCGAACTAGAAGTTCGAAAAATAATTTATTTAAATGCATTTACTGGCTAAGGAAATCAATAATATCTCACATGTCAATTTTAAATGCTCAAACTCGAATTAACATTCTAAAGGACTATCAGTGAATATGATATTTGGTGGCATGCCTGAAACATAACAATATTCGATTCTAATATAAAAATTTCTAAACAAAAATAGAACAATTAGCAATGATGGACATATTAAAAAGGCCTGTACTCTTGATAAGTATTTAGACTTAATAATTTTTAAAGCCCTAGAACAGGTTCAGGTATTTGAAATAATTGAAAATTGAGATATCTCAATAAGTTATGTAATTATGAAGAAAGAAATAGAAAAAAGTTGTCGATAACAATTTTGTACATGATGTACTGCATCATATAACGAGGTATTGAAATAAATGTATCAAAATATATCGATAGAAATATTGATTGGACAAACAAAATGGGTGTAATCCTAAATGAAATTTACTAGAAAACCTTAAATTTCAGGACCTGCAGTTCAAAAATTTAAAGATGTATATTCATGCAAAAAGAAAATGAGAAAAATGTCATCGTAAATTTCGCAAAGATCGTGTGGATGAAATCATGAATCCATATCATGCTATTTTGATGATACATGAACTTTAAAATACGTGATAGTCAACTCATTTGATATAACTATTAATTTTATCTTGAAATATTTAATATGCTTGAAGTATATAATTCAAGTAATATTATTGTGAGGGGGAATAAATACGTATTGTACTCTTATTTTCTTGGCTAAGGTTTTATCCCATTGAATTTTCGTAGCAATGTTTTTAATGGGGCAAATTTTGTAGTGTATTTAAAAGAAAAATGTACTCATTTTCCTTCATTATAATTTTTTTTAATAAGGTTTTAACAGGATATATTCTACATACAAGACATTTACCCTCAAAATAATACTCTGATATATATGAGACTCCTAAAAAAATCAAGAAGAGATATTTTTTGAACCATTATTTTACTACAGTCATCATGTTTTGTCTCTCTAAATTTTTTTGAAGACATTGATGTACAAAAAATGGGTCGCTTGATACAAAAATTGAAATCAGGATGATCAACAGACTGCTTTTCCTTCAATCAAGTTTTGTTTTATTAGGTTTTCTTGACAATGTTTTAACAAGGTAATATTTTGTTACTTCAAATTATTTTTTACTCTTTTCTTATTTGTTGGCATTTTTGTCCTATCGGATTTTTACCAAATAATGTTTCAATGAAATAGTTATTATGTAAAAATTTATTCAAGGAGGTCTGTTGTAAATATGTAGTACTTATGAATGACTTTTATACTTCTGCAATCCTAATCATTATGATTGTCGCATACCTTGTAGCCCGAATTCTTCCTTATAAGATTAGATACGAATATCGACTTAAAAAAAAAAAAAGAACTCTATATAATTGTCTAATTCTTTATCAAATTCCAATGCAAACTCCTCTTCATTCAACTCATCTTCCATGTCCTTCGATGTAAAATCATATTCATCGGACCCCTCATTTCAACTTGAGAATTTCTACTATCTCTTATAGTTGATAGGATATTATTAACCTTCTCCTCATCATCAGTCATCAACAATCCGAAATTTTTCATTACAAACATCACTTGCAAGTAAAATTAGAGAAAGATCAAAGAAAAATGAGGCTCAGAGTAGATAGTTTTCAACTCTACAAAAATTTGTTTTGATTTTTAATTTTTAATTTTTTTAAATGTCAAAACTCTATATTGCTATATATAATTTATTGACTTGGGTGATTTGAGTTAATTTAATATTTGTTAGGTTCAATTTGCTTCTATTTTTTTAAGTTATAAAAATAGGTTGAGCTTTTCAAGAGTAGTCTAGACATAATTTTTAATACAAAAGAGTGCTTATATTAGCATTTAAACAAGCATGTGGTCAACGAAATGAGTTAACTACGTTATCATACGCACACCCATATGCGACACGTTTCGAAAATGCATCGAGTATATGCGACCGCAAATATAGGCGAAGCATATGCGTGCATTTTAGTACACTGATTAAGAATGCATCTAGACTCCATTATATTTTAGAATGAGTGGTTTGTTCAACATCAATGGGTTAGATATTATTTCAAGCAGAATGTTATAAACTCATAATTCACTTGTTGTGAGGAAAATTTTGATTGAAATCGGTCCAATTTATGTAGTGGTGTCAAGGTGAGTTAAGTCACCATGGCTGGGTTAACCCATTTCGTTAAAAAGTCAGATCGTAGCCGATCCATCTTGATTTAGAGGCATAACATATTTTGTTACCTTTTGTTACTTGTATTATTTTTTTTTTTTTAATTCATGGAGTAGCATATATATTACTATGTTATATTTAGAGTAACACGTGTTACTCCATCATAAACTCTAATATACCCGATGACACTATTCCAAGCATGACCGTCTCCTGTGATTGACCACCATCACCCATTATCTCGCAAAGATCACTTTTAGCACCATCACACTCGAAATCGAGCTAGTAAACCATAACTCAAACCAAACCAAATAAACGACAACCCTAATGCTACCGATCTACATCTTCTACCACACAACTCATCCACCACTCATATGCCATTATGTTACCAACACAGAACATTACCAACACAGAACATTATGCTACCAATATAGAACATGAGTACATTTATGTTTCCAATCACTTGACCACCACACCACCAGACCAATGGAGTTGTGGAAGCTGATAATAAGACACTTAAGGTAAGGACATCTTGAGCAAAATAACATTTTCTGTGAACTTAATGGAAAAACTAAGATCACCACTTGCTAACAACAGATTTAAATCACGATGATCCACCCCCAAGCAGATTTGTGAACCTCATTATATTTGAATCACACATGAAAAAAATTTGATTACTACATAAAATTTAAGTGACGATCGCATAACACCGTATGGTGTGAGTGCTGGCAACGACATAAGATTACCAATGTAACATAGTCTGCTATAAGTTATGGCAGTTACAGAATGAATACAAGCCACGAAATATTTGTAACACATTGTATTACAAAGTTTAGCTTACAAAAGTAATAAGAAAAAGTAGTATTTTGATTAGAGAGAGAAATTGAACATCTCCTTGAGAAATTGTTTGAATTTGTAACTTATTTGCATAAATTATTCAATTATATTTTTAAGTAGATGGATTCAAACCTACAACTGATCTGAATCAAGTCGGATGGACTCATCCATTTTGACGTCACTTATTTATGCCGCTGTACAGGACCAGAAGCAAGTGATGACATTATTAGAAGATCTTTATCATACTATTGGACCATAGACATGTATATGCCAAGATGTGGCTGCAATTTATAGTACTTTTATCTCTTTCTCTAATCAAAGAAGCATTCACTCTCTCAACCGCCATTGCAAGTTGCAACTGAAAATCTGTGAGTCATGGAACCCTCTCTCCTTCTTCACCATCCTCTCAAACCCACTCTCTTTCATCACTCACTTCTCTTTACAAGTGAGTCCTCTCTCTCTCTCTCTCTCTCTCTCTCTCTCTCTTCCTGTTGCATATAGTCTTTGCAAATTACACGGCCAAGATTCTTGGAAATTAAAGAGAGAATTTTTGCATCTGCAGGAAAGAGAACCTACAACAAGGATGCATCATTCTTTCCGTGCCGCTGTTCTTCTTCAGAGGCTTCTGTGCTGAAAATGTCGTTTCAAAATGAGGGAAGGAGGGCATTCACGGCTTGTCTTCTTGCTGCAGGTTCCCACATTTAATCTCAGAGTTTTCCCTTATTAATATAAGATTTTTTTACTTTATAGAATCTTTTGTATATTCTGGGTTCTCTTGATGAATATTTGTTGATTATTGAAAAGGAATCTTGTAAAGTAGGATTAGGATTGAATCGATCAAATATCGAATTCTCCAATTCCTTGGCGACAATTTGATCTGTATGCCTTTGTCTTTTCGTGTCAAAATAATGTTATTGGGCAATCAAATTTCTTAAATTCAGTTATAATTCAAATCGCTATCACATACTAGTTACTAACTATCATATTTACATTTGTATCATCAATCAGCAGCTGGAATTTCTTTCTGTGGAGCAGCTGGTGCTGCAAGCACAAGTAGAAGAGCTGTAAGATATCTGTTGCACAATTGCAAAATCTAATATATCTCGACTCTAGTTACTCGCAAAAGTATTCACATTCACGTGTAAATGTATTACATTTTGCTTATAAACCTCAATTTTCTTGATTTTTACTTGCTGCAGCTTAGGGGCGCCAAAGTACCCGAGAATGAATATACAACTCTCCCAAATGGTCTGAAGTTAGTATATGCTAACAATTCTCGAATATCTGCTTTTTGCAATTTTTGGGTGTCCATTACTATATGCCTCTCCTATTCAACCAGTAAATATTGAATTAAATTTTACTGCTAAGACTCTAAAGATTCAATAATGTTGTTCTTCGCTCTGTTACCGTAAAACCTATAATAGTTATTTTGTGGGATTAGTTATGGTGCGTGCTATTATAATCTGAAACTCGTACGGTTTTCCAAAATCAAAATTACTAGTTTTTCATTCATCTGCTCGAGTTCATCTACAGAATAAGTTACTGATGCACGTTTCGTGCATTCCTCCAGAGACAGATCGTAGCTTAACTTTCTTATAATGTATAATTTTTCAGGTATTATGACTTGAAAGTTGGTGGCGGACCTGAAGCTGTGAAGGGATCTCGGGTTGCAGTATGACTGTACAAAGTTAAAAGCTTTAATATCTGTGTACATTACTTTGTTGATTTTCACAATATGAAATGCACACACTTCTTCATCCTCTGTAGTAGGTAGTACACAAGATTTTCTTATTCTAGACTTGTAACGAGGCATTAACTTTGATAATTTCTCCAACGCTGATTGTCTCTCTCTCGTCTTCTGTAATATACATGGAAGAACTTATGAGATTATTCTGAACCGCGCAATATCTACTACTCAGTAAACTGAATTGTGTCACTGTTCATCACATTTAGGTCCATTATGTCGCTAAGTGGAAGGGAATCACTTTTATGACTAGTAGACAAGGTCTTGGTGTTGGTGGTGGAACGGTAAAATTTGAGAAGTACTTTATTGTTCGCTTAGCTATTCAATATATCTAGCGTATTTTGTTACAAAATTTTGAACGGTAAAGTTCTGCTAGCATGTTGTTAAACTAATTTACATCCGCTTTTCTGGTTGATCTAGCCTTATGGATTTGATGTTGGTGAGTCGAAGAGGGGTAATGTTCTTAAAGGATTGGACTTGGGAGTTCAAGGCATGAAAGTAGGAGGACAGGTGAGATGAATCTCTGACACGAATCTGCATAGAACATTTGCATCGAATGTTAATGAGTAAATCCACAATCTGCAATAAGGGGTTCATCTATTCTTGCTTGTTAGTTGAAATATTTATATTTTGCAGCGGCTGTTGATAGTTCCTCCCGAGCTAGCTTATGGTAGCAAAGGGGTACAGGAAATTCCCCCAAATGCAACTATTGAGGTAATAAGTCGTGGTTTCTTGTTTTGAGGTCATGGTTTATGAAGTTACTTCTACTAGTACAATAAAAGACTTTAGACCACCTATCTAAAAGACTTCAGCACGAGCTCCTCTATCGTTATTTTTTCCCCTCAAGCCGATCAAAGTTCATTCCATAACTCTTAAACTCGATCTGCAGTTGGACGTGGAACTACTGGCCATCAAACAAAGTCCATTTGGGTATGTTATCGTTCTTGAGAACATTCTTGGTCTTTCTGTACCAAATTGCAGTTCGTTTCTAGTATGACATTACATTTTATGCTAACAGCATTTTCTTTGTGCAGATCTCCTGTGAAAGTCGTTGAAGGATAATTGAATTGTTCGGCTCCTGAGAGTGGAAATTCACAAGGTCTTGCTAATACTTGGATAATTTTTAATGCGAGCCGCCAAGTTACTTTCAAGTTATTGATGCACAGGACGTGTTATGTTTTTGTGAATTGATATCATACTACTCATTACAATTTATAGAATTGTTTCAGTACATTCAATTGGGTTAGCGTCATAAGATTTAAATTCTTATAAGAAACTCAAAAGCTGTGTCATGAGATTTAAATGCTCATGGGCGCAAGTCTGTAACAACTGCAACTCCATCATATCTAAATTACTAAGCAAGAACGCATCAAAAAGGTAATTAGATGTAGAAGACAGTATTTCTAGGCTAGCAATGACTATCACTTTCCTCTCAGTTGACTGCAACTTGGGCAGAAAGATAATTTGAATGAATTGCATCTTGGCTTGACAATTTGGCCTTTGAGAGCTCGAGAACCTGAACAGCTTCTGCCACCTTGGAAGCTAGTGATTCCGGTGACTCTAATAGTAGTAGTAGTTCTGAATTGTCCATCTCCAAAAGCATACCCGTTATCTTTGCAGCAAGATCAGGCTGCAAGGAATATGAATTTGCATAGAAATTCCATTAGCATAACCTTTGAAGCAAGATTATAAATTTTAGATGCCCCTTCATTTTTCTCTCTCTCTCTCTTCTTTTTTTTTTTTTTTTTTTTTTTTTTTTTTTTGGGGTGGGGGTAGGATTTTCAGGAAAAGCAAGCACTGTGTTTGGCAAAATCATTTATTCATGCAAAACATGATCGAGCCATCTAAATAATTATCATGAACCCCTAAATTGATCTTCTTCTAAGCATTGTTCTCAGTAATAATCAGTTATTTTTATGCATAGAATCGTGATCAGAAAAGCTCTAACCAATCTACGAGATTAATAATATATACAAACACATATTTGAATCAAACAAAAGGACCAAAAAACTATATAAAATCCGTACATCCAAATATAGCAGTATAAAATGAAAGAAATATTATGAAGAGAAGATTTTACGTTATGTTGACTGACGAGGGGATACAGACGCTCCCCAAGCATCTGTTTTTGCTGCTCTGGAGGAGCTGCAGCAAGCTGGCTACTTAACACCTCTGATCCATCAGCAATGGGAACGGGAGATCCTTTGCTCATCTCATGTGAACGCCCATTTGGCACATAGACATGCCTAGCATGCTGAAAAAGTTTACACAAATTTTTTGTACTGGTATAAGTTGCACAAACACTACATTTTGAAGCTCAGGAGCTTTAATGTGAGTTGAACAATAAATGAAGCATCAAAGTACCAAAAGTGTCTATATTGGACAGTTTTATAAGTGGGGCATAATTCACAAAATGAGCAGGTATTTGAGAACATTTTTTCATCCAAACAGAATTAATTCAAGCCTAGGTAGTTAACATTGAAATATGAAAAGGTTGTAAAGTCTGCACAAAATCCAATAAGCTTTATTTGGTGCCCCCTTCTCCCTTAAACATAATAAAGCAATGGTGAAATATTAGTGTTTCTCGTTCTTAATGAAGTTCAGGTAAAATTTTGTAGCAACACACATAACATAAACTCACTCACCAGCCATTTTCTTCCAGGAAATATTACCCTGTTGCTGTGATGTTGAAGCTGGTATTTTCTTAAAAAACGGATACATAAACAAATTCCATACAAATTTATAGACTGAGCATCCCAGACTCCTAATGTGGAAAACCCTACCAGTGTAGAGTCGCACAAAGTGCCACCACTCAATCCCCCCACCCCCACCCCCACCCCCAAAAGCAATTGCCTTCTCATCAACAAAAAGAAAGAAAAGAAAAAAAGACAGGCCTAGCAGGTAAAAGATGTTCCTTATTTCTGTGACATAACTCTACTATCAGTTCATGTGAAAGACATTGAAAATGGAAGGATTGGTATAAGTACTTAACTATAGCATATATTTTCCCCACATATAGGCAAGGAACAATACATGGAATATCAATAGCATAAAGTCTAAAACTCAGTGAAAAAAAATTATGGACACGTGGTGTATAAGTCAAAATAAAAGTATAAATAAACCTGGTGCTTGCTTGAATCTTTCGGTAATACCATAAATTGAGTTGGTTGTTGCAAATGTGAAGAATATGTGGGAACGCCACCCTGGGGTGGCACATGCCCATTCATCCTACCCCTGTTTTGTCTATTAGGTCTTGGATTATTAGGACTCTGTAAAAATGAGGAAAAAGGAAGAAAATAAACATCTTGAGAGCACATAGACAATAACAGAAGACTGGCATTCATCAGAGAAGCAGTTTAAAAGACTTCAGTGCTAAACAAGATCTTTTCCTAAAACTAACCAAGGGAACAGGAGATGTTTGAAAAGCAGGCCTGGAAGGATCTGCAAAGCCATTTGCCCTCCATCCTGGCCTCATCCCCAGAGGTTGATACATCAAACCAGGTCGTGCAGGATCTTGTGAAACAACACCAGGAGACGGGTAGTAAAGAGTAGGATAAGCGCCAGGAATAACAGCCGAAGGTCCTACCAACCCTGTAATACGGTGCGCATATTGTAGCTGTAGCTGAGCTTGTCTTTCTTCTTTCCTCTGAGCAATAGCTGCATACAATGGCTTCCGATGCAACATGAAACCTGTAAACATCCATGGACAATACTTCAGCATCACAATACATAACTGTTCCGAGTACTGAATTTTTAGCACTATAAAACTAAATGAAATCTAGAATCTACCTATGGGAAAAAGATAAGAAAGTAATGTTTACTCGAGGTTCAACATCAACTGTAGGCAACATAGACCTAGGAGATTTCCAATGGTATTTGCTGAGACAGGGAAAATGATAAAATACTATCCAGCGTCTAAAGCAAAAGGAAAGATTCCAAGAGGCCATTTGCAATTGCTATGCAAATGATTGTTCAAACGGTTTTCCACCTAATGCAACCAATTTCTACACAGGGTTCAAGACAATGGAAGAGCTTGCATACCGTGATAGAGAATTAAACATCCGCCTCAAAAACTTAGAACCCACAAGCTCACCAAAGAGAAACTTCCAAAATTTTGGACAAAATAGCCTCAAGTTTTCAAAGATATCAGTAGAAGTTTCAGAAATTCTCATAGCATCTGTTGACTTTTTTGTCCAAGAGATCAACTTATGTGTTTATAAAATACCTAACATCAACCATATCCTACACTTGATGCTATCGAATTTAGAAGAGACCATCCACGGAGGGCAGGTGAGAGGAGAGTGGCCATGGGGCAGCTAGTCGAGAGAAAATCTCATCTTTTTAAGCCCTACGGGAATATGACCGACGTTGGGGTTTTGAGCCTCTACTATTATTTAAACAGTCTCATACCCTGAAGGATGCAAACTATAATTTTCAGATCAAAGAGGATCTAGTGTGCATGAAGAGTCAAGACCATAATTAAAAACTTGGCTCCAAATGATACTCACACTCCTCCAAATATTTGAATGTATGAAAATGGGTATAATATGATAATGAAAAAAAAATTAAATAAATAAAATTACCACAGATATAAAATGGTAAAATAGCAACACCTTTATGGTATCTCAATAATAGCATTTAAGCAAAATAAATTGCACATAGAGGTGTGATGCACAGTCACAATAGCGGCATAAGGGAACCAGCTCTGAAATGTCATGACCACCATTATATTGGTCAGTAATGAGATCAGCCTTTGTTAGTTCCTCATGCCACAACAGTTGCGTATTTGCATCATGATGAGGAAAAGTTCATACAACAGTCTAATTGTCTGTTGTTAAACTAAATTATGTATAAATCAAACAGAATAAACAAAATATGCAAGTATGCCTGAATCTCTGGAACCAAAATATATGTACATAGTCACATGCCTATCTTTAGATGCCTTGCTTTTCCATTCAATCTTGACTCAGTAAACATACTCACCGTGAAAAGTGTTCACAGCTTTAATCGCCTCCTCAGGCATGGAAAAACAAACAAATCCAAACCCCTTACTCATTCCTTTATCATCTCGCATAAGCTTCGCAGAAGTAATTGTACCACACTGACTAAAGTGGTCCCATAGCTCATCATCAGTTACGTCATCATCAATATTCTTCACATACACATTTGAAGCCTGAAATTTGAAGGTTGAAAGAAAATTATAAACATATAGATGATATAAACATTTTTACAAGTTTTCAAAGAACCTTGTATTTCAAGATTTTCTCCCTTCTTTTCTCCTCAAACTGGCGGCGTAGCATTTCTTCACGTTCTGTTTTCTTTTGTGCCCGGGCCACATATAAAACCTTTGAGCCTACTCAGAACAAACAACATGATAAGAAAAGAGTTTCAAATAGCAGCTTTGGCAACTTCATCATACAATTAAGCTCAGTAGAAATTGATGACCATACCAAGTTGTGTTCCATGGAAAGCTTCCAATGCAAGTTTGGCATTGTCCGGGTTCTCGAAGTTGACAAATCCAAAGCCTCTTGATGTTCCATTCTCATCTTTTAAGATGGCTACGCTCATAACTTTTCCATACTCAGAGAACCTCTCCAAAAGGAGTTCTTCGGTGACATCTGAATCCAAATTCTTCATGTACAGATTTGTGTACTTTGCTTCAGGATTGGTTACAGCCCTCTCACTCTTCTTCACAAACTTGCCGACATAACTGTGCAAGTAAAATGTCGTTGGGTTATAAGCAAAACATTTATTAATGATAAGAAAATTATCACGCACCATCAAAAACTTTCATATATAAATACACAAGGCAGATAGAATTTACATCTTTTTGTCTCCAACGACGGACCCATTAAGGTTCTCGATGGCAGCATTTGCAGAGTTTTCACTCTCAAACTGGACAAAGCCATATCCTTTGCTTTTCCCATCATCAGATGTGACAACTTTACAAGATAATACATTACCAAACTTCTGAAACATTTCTTGAACTTTCACACCATCAATAGACTCACTTAAATTCTGCAGACAAAGCCCAGAATAAAAGTGTGAACCAGTTCAAAATTATCAAATAAGTGAATCGCGAAAGAAATAAGGATAATTCACAGCAAACCAACAATATTTGTGCATTAAAACAACAATATACCTTTACAAACACATTCCCAATCCCGCTTCTTCTTGCATCTGGATCACGATGCGACCACATAACCCTTATTACTTTGCCATTCAATGTAGAATGATTTTTCATCTCAATAGCATGGAGAGCTACTCAAAGAAAATGGGAAAGAGTTAGTATGGTAACTCTATTTAGGAAAGACGCTACCGTTATCAATGTCAAACAGGCGAATCAAAATGATGGCACTGCAAAATTATAAGCCTCACAAAAAAACCCAACTATTAAAATATGTAGCAGACTAGATGTCATCCTCCCTCGAATCTTTATAGCAATGAAAAGTTAATAACTGGCTGGATTACCAAAGGCATTTACTAAGCAATATTTTGCATCATCTCTTCAGTGTTCCCTCTGTTACAGTTGAACTGTTAATTGATATGGTCAAATACAATAAAATGCAAACCCGTGAAACAATATTAGCGTTTGATAGACATTTTTATATAAAAATGTATTTTAAAATATTAAATTGATGTGAAATGTGTGGTTGAAAAATAAGGAAATTTTTTTTATTTACGTATAATATTATTTTATTAAAGAATGTGTGGTTGAAAAGAAGTAAGAGAAAAATGTATTTTGAATAAAATGACTACCAAATGGGGTCTAAAATTCAAATCTCTGTTAATCCAGTACAGATGGGATGACCCACTAAGTATGCTCTCACACAAAAGATAACGCATGAACGCAAATCTCATAGACGCATCATGATTTTGAGCAAATAATAAATTGATGATAACTCTCTTTCCACTTACAAAAAGAAATCAATTACATGAGGCCTTTTCTTCTTCGACCATTAAAAAGGGGGAAATCTGCAAATCAGTTCGAATCTTAATTTTCAAACTTGACAAATAAACTGAAGCAATTCATCAGTAAATCGTGATCAAGACATACGAAATGCTAAAGGCCTGCAAAAAATGTGCATGCATCAATTTGCATAGGTGTGGCGATTTGTAATATTCCGAGACCAAATTTTTTTTATCCATTTATCAATTTAGTTTTATGAACATGACCAATCCGGCCAATTCAAACAAAAACTCGCATCGAATTTTAGCAGAGAAACTAAAATTATCGAGTTGAAGGAAAATTCAATCGTAAAAACCTATCACAACACAATATCACTCCGATCCACTCCCCTCCTCCCACACACACTTCGCCTCACGCATGTACAGATCGATAAATAAAAATACAATGCACGTAGACAAAATAGTACCATCTCGCGGGGAGATGAAGTTAACGTAGCCATAACAAAGAGAGCGGCCGGTGGAGGAGTCACGGCAGACACGTACGGATGCCAGACTCTTAAACTCCGAAAATGCATCAAACAACTGCCCATCCGTCACATCCTGCTGCAGGTCCCCCACATACAACGACGCCGGAGTCGCCGGTACCATCGATTCTGCTGCCATATCTTAGCACAACAAATTAGTAGATTTATCTGTATATATATATCTTTATATATGTGTGTGTGTGTGTAACTGTATGTATGTAAATATGCGTGTCTCTGTAAAGAAACTGAAGGTTTAGAGAGAGAATGGGGAAGCAAAATTAGATGGAAATGAATGAATTTGAGAGTAAATAGATACCGAGAATAGAGAGAGAAAAAGAGGATACGATTATAAGGAAAATTTTGGAAAAGAGGAAAAGAGAATTATGGATAGAAGATGAGGATAAAATTGGAATTCGAATTTCGTTCAAGACTCGCGTGTGTGTGTGTGTGTTTTTTCTTATGGGGGGATTTTGCATGGACGCGGGAGTTTTGTGGCGTTCCGCCGAGCGCATACCAGAAAGAGATTGTGTGATGACACGCGCCTCTTAAGGCGCGTTGTCCGTCCGAGCAGTCACGTGTTTTTGGATGTGCAACAAATTCTACTGATTCATCTTATGCGAAAAATTTTCCCATTTTCCACCTTTTGTATGTTTAATTGGCCAATTTTTTTGTGAAATTGGTTTTCTTGATACAATCCATTTTTGCACCATTTTTCACTTTTTAAGGAAAATGTTTTTCCACGAATTTGGTGATTTTTTCGTTTTTCAATCTTTTTTGGACAATTAAAACAAATTATATCCCCAATTATAACAAATTTTATTCATTTAATTGAGATTTTTCATGAAAAATAAAACAAAACGAACACCAAAAGATCATTCTAGGGGAAAAATTATATCAATCAAATACATTTAATTGACAATTCTCAATAATACTAGTTTTAGCCAATTCAATTTCCTGAAATTCGTTTTCTTTCCGTCCAAATTTCATTCTTCCAATCAAACGATCCCTTAAAAAAATTCAATAAGCAGATATTATTGTGGAATGGGAATATGTTATGTATTAAAGAAGAAAAATAAATATTATATATTATCTATTAATATATTTAAAAATTTCCGATGATATTATTTAATCGTATACCACTAGTTAATTTATTGAAAAATATTGGGAATTTGATGCAAGTAGTTCTTAACATTTTTTCTGTACAAATGCTCTCAACTCTTGTTCCTTGACGCGAATGTTCATAAAATAATTGTTTATTAGTATTTTTGTTATTTATTTATCTTAATTTTAATTCAAGCTTTCACATTATGAGGCAATTAATACACACCTAAAAGCATGATAATTTAAACCTTTTTTTTTCACTTTGAAACACTTAACTTAGAGATCTCTATGCCAAAAAAAAAATAAAAAAGTTTAAGGACCATTTGAGTCAAATTCCCCAAAATATGAAGCTATTAATTAATGTAAAAAGCATGTTTAAGACGCGTGAAGGACACAGAAAATGGATGCGCGTAGAAATAAAGGGACAGGAAAATGCCAGCGCAGAGGGGGAGAGAAAAGTGCATGTGGACCCCATAAGAGTCCAAGAATCCTTCAAAACTTAAAAAAATAAAAATGAGGAAAAAGAAATTTGAGCTTACTTGAGGAATTCATTCCCCACCAATCCTTAACCAAAAGGGCCGCTTCTTTCAATGGACTCCACTCTACTCCGCTTGTGTTGGGATTTATACAAACATTTTCTGTTATTCCAATTAATTATTAACATATTTTTCGTGAGAGAAAGAGTATTTAATAATGTTAAATAGTTGTTAAAATGAGAAATTAAAATTGATGACTTACTAATTCAAAATTTGTGTCAATAAATAATTGAGTGAATAATAAATTGGACAGTAGATCTCAACTCACTCTGCTTTGCTGCTTCTCTTTTCGATCCCTAAATTCAGAATACAAATTTACAATTTTACATATTAATCCGTTTGGTAAAAGTTTTGTTTTTACGTTTATTTTTTATAAAAGATTTTCATATTTTGCTTCTTGTTAAAGAAACACTTTTATAAATTTTATCATACGAGTGCATTGGTCTCAAAAATAAAAAAAATAAAAATTGATTTCTCAAATTTCATGTCAAATGGGCCCTTATGCCAACTTTTTATAAAGGAAAATGTTACTTGTACATAAAATACTTTTAAAATGCTATCAAAATAGTTTAAAAGCAACTTTTTATTTTTAAAAATATTTTTTGACTTTTTAAAAAACCTATCAAGCGAAACCTAAATTGAACCTAAATAATACATGTATAGCCAATCAAGTTCCTTAATAATATATATTGTTATACAATTTTATTCTATAAGATGAGCCGTCAAAGATTTATCATATGAATTGTCTAAAAGTTTCAAACCACAATCAAAATTCACAATTGTTGATGTTTCATCCATGGATATATTAAAAATACTGATTTTTGCTTATTTATATATGTAATTAAATAATTTAATTTGCATTTTTGTTGCTTGAAACAATTGAAATTAATTTAGATACCCAAATTTACGGATTTCATTAGTAATGTAGGTTCATATTGTTAATGCGTTACACACTGGCATGGTAGCATTGCTTTTACGCATGGGTGCGGTGGGGTTAGGGTCGATTTTAACTTCAACCCAAAATCCAATTAATCATTTTAGGTGAATTTCAATCCAAACCAACACACTCTAACTCTTAAATTGAACAAAACAAAATCAATTGTGGGTTTGGTTCGATTCAATTAATCAGTTTAAACTTTTAGTCCAAATTATTATTATTATTTTTTTAAATTCGAGTTTTAAGCACACTTAGATTACAAGAACTAAAATAATTAAATAACTTTATATTACAATAACTATTGACTAACAAGTAAAATCAGATTAATAGAGACAGATCAACAGAAAACTTAAATTTTTGTTACTTTTTATGTATTATGTAATTTGATTACTTGAGTAGATAAAAAATACTAAATATAACATAATGAGTTTGCAAAATGAAATTTCCAATGCAATAACTTATTGGTAACATCATAAATTGGGGGGAATCGAGATATAATTATGGTTTATCTTTTTATTTTTATTTTTATTAAAAAACGATAAACATGTAAGTTAATTGAGTTAGTTTGGTTAAACAGCGATTTGAGACTTCAAACATGACTGAACAAATCCACCTTGATTTTGTTCATTTAAAAAAAAAATGAGGAAAAAAAAAAGTGAACCAATAACCAGTGTCAAATCGATCCAAATTAACCCGAGTCGATTCGGTTTAATTGGTTTGTTGTTGTTATTATTATTTTTTTTTTTTGCCCAAGCGTAATTGCTTTTATAAAATTGGAATAGGTGAAATTACTTTTTAGAATTAATCTAATGGTATATAATGGGATATACCTAAGGGTGTACACCTCCCTCACATGGGGTGTGGGATCCACCCGAATAAGTGTTTTTTATTCGGATAGATCCCACACCTCATGTGATAAGGGTGTATACGCTTAAGTACACCCCTATATACCACTAGCGCCACCGTACCTTTTATAGCATTGGTTTCCAGGGCGTCGGGGGATCACTTTCTAGTTGAGAAAAATTGAACCGTAAGTATTAGTCTTTTTTCTGAAAAAAACAGTTAGTCCCCAGCTTTTAGAAATAAGTAATTCATTCCCAGCCTTTCGTTATAGTTGCATACTCAGTTTCCAGCAATATATATAATTTAAAATTTCATTAAATTATCACATGACTCTGGAATGTATCTCACTTCGAATATATATATGTGTGTGTGTGTGTCACGCAACGCTTCAATTAGGTCTAGGATGATTTTTGTTGATAGAGATTAATTGTGCTATAAGGAACGGTTAACAGCCAACTTATTACTTCTTATAAATGCCAAGGTAGATTAAGATAAATTTGTGATTAATGTAACCCTCTCATTAATGGACCACTAATGCATTGTCTAAAACTTTAAAGCTTTCGTATTCTAATATCTATAAGCCCATATTAATGGTTTTTGTATCTTAATTGAATTTTGTTCAAAATAGCTATAAATTTATTTTCTATTTGAGGAACGTAAATTTCAGTAAAATGAGTTGAAAGTAGAACTGTAAGTTGACAATAACGTTATGAATAACTTATTTAATTTTAATTATGATTTTATCCAAAGTGTGAATGTAAAGAATTCAAAATTCTCATTTATAAATGAAAAGGTAAACAAGTGCACACAAGTACGATTTGTCTCTATGAATGGCTCTTGTCGAATTCAAAGGAACGATGACATAGGAATATGATTAGACAAAAGTTGGTGGGATTCTTGTGGGGCCTTTGTCAAATTTTTCATACTTATGGGGCCTTCGTGAAATAAAGACTGAAGTTGGAGCATGACAACTGCGTAGGTTTAGTTCACTACTGAATATGAACACAATTTTTATTTTTTTCTTTCATTTCCTTTCTTATAACATGTTGAATGCTATCAATTCCCGTGTCACACTCATTCACGTCCACTTTATTAAACAAGTCATTAATGTATCAAAGAAACCATTTTAAGGTATTAGCAAGACGAAATATTCAATATTTTAGATCAATCGAAAGCAAAAAGCAGCAAATAATACAAGTCTAAAACTGAAATAATGAAACAAAAATGCTGTAATTTCTAAAGTCTTCTTGTCATATCAGCATATATTACAACTAAAAACAATCCAACAGTGTCCTGTCCCAGATATAAATGATAGTGGTACATAGACAGACAAGAATGTTTTGACTACATACAGACCAGCTCCCAGAATTTCAACTCATTTGTATAACCTTCAACACCTAAGAAGCAAGACCGTCATCAGATTTCTTCTGCTCGTGACCATCTTCATGTTCATTCTTCAAGCCTAATTTTGAGAATAACTTAGAACTTTGGTCAAGCTCGAGAGGTCAGAACAATTTGGATGAGAGAGAGAGAGAGAGAGAGAGAGAGTTGGGGTATAGGTTGATGTCACTTCTACCAACAGTCGAGGTGAGAGATTAACGACGGCTCCTCAAGCCGCCATTGTTCCAAGAAAGGAGGGAAAAGGGAAAATAGAGGGGCTAAGAAAACAGCTATTCTTGGGAAAGAAAAATGAACTACAATGAGCTGCCAATCACTATAAATATAAATTGGCAAAGCCAGAAAATGGGGTTACACTGAAATAATTTACAGAAAAACAAGTCCAATCACTCCAAATATATGTAGCAGGAGAGCATTATTGTTCTTATTTATCAGCTTGAGGAGGATACTAGATGAACCGCTGCTCACATTCAGCTGTCCAGCATTAACAAATTCATCCTTCCCAGAAGTTATAGAGACGTTCACAGACAATGAACCTGAAGAAAGAATTTCAGATATAGAAGAATAAGCTACACGAAATTTCAACATATATATTCTTAGAAAGACAAAACATATGGAAATGAATATACGACACTTACAATCATGATCTGCCCATCCTATTCTTTGACGGGCTAAATCATAAACAAAGATTTTATCTTTGAGAACAAGATCTGGAGACAAAAAAAATAAAGTTAAAGATAAGTTTGAGACTCAATACTCTTATGGTGACTAGGTTAGCAAATTTTGAATATTTTGAAGTAACCATCCAAAAATTACGTAGTTCACAATGTTAAATTGAATTCTACTTCACATACCGTGTTTAATGTCTATATTTGGTTGCTATTGAAAATTATGCATTTGGGTTAGCAGTACAAGTACTTAAGTCAGCAAATTTATATCACCTATGGTGCTCGTCCTTCTCAAGCATGTAACAATCAGTTCATGAGAACAAGAAGATCGCTATAGCAATATATTATTTTGTTCAACCCTCGAGCTTTGGCTTTCCAGAAATTCATGCTGCACGTAGGTTTAAAGGATAGAACCCCTCCTCCCACAACCAACATGCGAAAAAAGAAATAAATGAAACCTGAATAGATCCTATGATCCTTCTAAGGCCACCTATGAAACAACAACGCTGGCTGAATTGCATGCCCGACTTCAGATAACAGACTATGGGTTCGTTACCTGATGGTTCACTGTGAGCTTTATTTTATTTTCTTGAATTTGAGTATGACAGGTACACAGTCGCTTATGGCTTAAACCACAGATGTATAACCTATAAACTCAATAAACTACTAAAGCATAGAGAGTTGAAGAAATTGCAATAACTCTAAAAGTATCTAGAAAAGATGAAGAAATTGCAATAAGTCAAAGTATCTAGAAGATCATCTTTCTTTTGGAAAAAAAAAGAAACAAAGAAAAAATCCTCTCAGAATAAGTATCTTCGTCCAGTAACCAACCTCCTAAAATTGTTGTGCCTGGAGATTTAACTTTAATAAAGCCAATGCACCACATTGCATCACCATCCTGCAAGAATTAGTCAAAAGTAAGTATTTCACATCACAGACAAAAAAGAAGCTATAAGTCAAAACTGATGGATAACATGATCCAGAGTAAATTTTAAACAGATAATGCTAGTCTTTCACAGGATATCGGGGAAGAAATAATTATTCGTGTAGAGACAACAGCAATACTTACAACAAATGCTGCATGCAGAAGGTAATCCTCTGGCCTTAAAAACATGGATACACCGCCAGCAAAATTTAGAGAAACTGGAGGAAATATCTGAGCCATGCTGTGAAGGAACAAATACAGATTTTGGTCAAGTGTCAAAACAATGATAACTGATATATCATGATCCACTTGCCATAATCGTTTAGACTTGAATAACTCTCAGGGAACTATCAATACAGTGTTGAATGAAAAGAACCTTGTGGAGACTAGATAGCACTTGTTTCCTTTCGAAATGATTGGCCTTGCAGATTGAGAAACAGCAGCAGTTATCTGCAGAAAGAGTAAGCAATCAGAAAAGATTTGCATCTAAATTTATGCTTATTTTGAATAGTAAATTTCTTCTAGCACTGTAAGAGCATATCTTCACGCATGTGAGAAGAACTTTCATTAGACCTCTTTAGTGATCGAAGAGATTAAACAAGTTTATGAATTATGATCATGACACCTACCAAATTGACCAAACAAAACAAATAGCCGCCAGATCAATAGGTAAAATAAAGATTTTGTGTTCTGATTCAAGAGATTTGGTTCAGAAAGTTAATCTCAATCCCCCAGCTCCAGTGCTCAGGTATACAGTGAGAATTTAAGCATAACTCAGACGTCATCAAACTGGTTTTTTTCACCACTTCCCGTTTTTGTGACACCAATAATTACAACAAAGGGGGTGACAAGGGAACACGAGATGCAAACTTACAGCACCAACAAAGGGATCATAAGCTTCTTCAACAAGGTATGCTAAAGTAGTTCCAGAATCGACAATAGTCCTTTGGTTGCCTGAAGTTGTAAAGACTGCTGTCCCATTGACAGCAATGCTCTGTAGATATAAGCTATAATGTGGCCTGAAAGATTGGAGGGAAAAAAAATCAACAATTTGCAAAATCATGATATGATATGATGTCTCAATATTTCTTAATTTTCTCATGCTGGTAAAGAGAAACAATAGAAAGTAAGAAAATTATCTCCTCATATCTTATAGGAAAGTGATGCAAGGGAACTGATAATGTGCATATACAACTCTATGCGCTACAAGAGGCTTATTTTAAGATTTGTGATATGCAGCAAAAATAAAATAGTTATTTTAAGATTTGTGATATGCAGCAAAAATAAAATAGTTCCAATGTTGTGAAATATACGTACTGCGATGGAACAAGGGGAGTATAAACGATTCTTGAATCCAAAATCTCTCCAAGAACTAGTACACCTCCACCATTTCCATCTCCTTTCAAGCAGTGGGAAAACACTTTAGGAGTAATTCCATGTGATGACAACTGTGATATTACTGAAAGACCCTGCTGCCCAAAACCAAAGAGTCCATCAACTGCTGTATCTGATTTAGTCAAGTCCCCGGACATAGAGGTGCTGCACCTGTACCCACACATAAAAATAAACGTTTCAATATGCAAAATTTTATTATTATTAAACAGTCATTGAAGGAACAACGAAAACAATTTTTAAGTGACTCGAAAGATACGTGACTTATGATATATCAAGTCCAAGGGTTCAAATGTCTTAACAATTCAACTCTCTCACTTTTGCTCCAATAGCTCATATGATCCAGAAAGACACTAATATTTTTCTGTCCTTTAGTTCTGTTCTTAAAGTAAGCTGCAAATAGTACCCTTCAACTATCAAGTTGTCAGTGTGAATACTAATTAACATTCAAGTCAGAGTACACAGCTCACCCAAAAACAATGGGAGCAGAAGAATTAGCAATTGATGAGGTTCCCAAAATTGTGTCCAAATAGAGCAGATCAGATACATAGAAACCAGCTGTGCCACTTCCATCTGCATATTGGAACGAGTACCCACACCGATTGCTTTGAGTAAAGCATTCTGCAGATGCAGTTTGGACTATAGAAGCACACGTGCTGTCCGCACAGGAAATAGAGGATACTGTTGATGAGTTAGCAGCATCAAAGAAATTGAGCTCAACCTAAAAATGGAACTGAAATATCAGTTTGGTGCGAAACTCAAAAAGCTAAATTGTCAAACTGAACCAATGAAGGAGAAAACAATGAGATAAAGGGACAAAATCTTACTCCAAGTCCACTAGTCCGGGGGCAATTATTACAGGAACTGCAAGTAACCCATAAGACATCGCTCCCAGTATCAATTTGCACGTTGAATTCTCTTGGAGGAGAACCCAATTTCACTTTGGTAAAGTAGAGTCTACAGTTGAAGAATCATTGATTAAAAGAGTAGAATATACGTTAAAAATCAGTGTTTACTTTATATTCGAAAAGATTATTAAATCAAAATAAATTGAAACCAACAAAGTGCGAGTATCAACATTAAAGAATGAAATCCGACAAATGATATCTGACAATCAGGAAAGACTTTGACCGTTTACTTTAATTAATAACAATACCGAGTAAGTAATTGAAATTATTGACCATAAAGCTGCCAAGAAATATCAAGATTACATTTTTCTAGCCCATTCATGAATTGATTTCAAGGACTCATGAATTTCTTGTACTTACTATCAAACCCGCCAAAAAGAAGAATTAAAGAGAAACAATAGTTTATTTTCGAAATGGAAGTAAAAAATTCAAAAATTTGAGTCCTAATATTTTTAATAGCCAAATATTTGTAATATACATCACAAAAGTAAATAAAAATTCAAAATTAAAAGGCGCAACAAAGTTACCCGACGAGATAGGGGTCCGAGGTACCAACGACTGGAAAATCGGCGATGCCACCGGCAAAGCTCTGCAAGATTCGAGCGTGCCTCGCCAGGTCCCGGGCTTTCAACGCCTCTAGCTCCACCTTCTGGTCCGCCGGAAAAGTCCTCTCCAGAGTAAGCACTCTCATCACACCGCCGCCACTCGCCGCCGACATAAAGACGGCGGCCACCACGGCCATCACCAAGAACCTCAAGTCCACCATTGCCGGCACTCCAAAATCCCACTGTAAGTGTATATCTAATATGGGTACGTGTATATGTACGTATACAATGAGAATGAATTACAGAAATTATAAACAATGAAAATTAAGGCATACAGTTTCCTTCATTCTAGAGTAGAAAGAGAATGCAAGTTTTGAAATTCTTACCCGAAGAGGACATCAGAATATATAGAGGGAAAGATGGTCCGTACGACGTGGCGTATGACGTAATTGAAAAGTCAGTAATAGTCATAGGTGAAGTGCAATAAGCTGGGTTTAGCGAGGGTAATTTGGGGATGATATGAGGTTAAAAAATAGCAAAAAGGAATAAAATAAGCGGACTAAATTTTGTTGATGCGAATTGGTTTTGAACGGTGCGTAATTTACACGCTTGAATTTCATGTTATTGTCTAAATACAAGAATTAATGTTGGAAGTGTACTTGCCTTACATATTTAGTACGTGAAACTAAATGATAAAAAAAAATGTTATTCGCAGTTGCTCATTACGATAATCGTTCTACGTGACATACACATTTACCATGTATATACCACATACGACGACTGCTGCAGTGAGGCATGGGAACATTTCAATTTATGTTAGATATTACATACGTTATTATGCTCCTGTTGTTAGCAATTTTTCATTCCAAAAAATCAGTTTTTGGACAGTTATTTCATTATTTCATCTATCATTTTTGACTTCTTCACTCATAGGTAGGACCTACTTTTCTCTCTAGCGATCAAAAAATCAATTCTCAAAATCAATACCGAACAGGCCCTATGTTGTATTGTGCAATTAAAAAGTATGTCTCAAATCAAAGTAAATGCGAATATTCATTTGTTATCTCTGTCTTCTTTAGTGCAATCAGTCTCGCTAAGTCGATCCCATTGGATTCTAAACTTGTGTATATGAAGCTTTTTCTTCGATTCTATACCGTCTGAATGCAAATGATGTATGATTAAATTTTTTATTGACAGAGTAATTGTTTTGTTTATAACTTCCTTTTATTCGATCAAAATGGCTTGTGACAATTCTCTCTTCATTTCTCCTTTGAATGTGATAATCCAAAAATTGAACTTTGAAATTTATTTTGAAATTTGAAATTGAACTTTTTAAAACGAATGCTAGCTTGTTATACTTTTTGTACATATCCACTGCTTTCATTTGATTCTTTTGGAGAAGAAATATAGCTACAAAGCATAAAGAGTAGAAAAAAATATTCATACGGACGACTTCAAATCTATTGGCTATAGGACGACTTCGAATCTATTGGCTATAAGACTTAGGGCATGTTCGGAAATTATTTTGAAAATTGATTTTTTTATTGTTAGAAGAAGAGTGGGAGCCACTTGTGAGAGAAGAAGTAAAAAATTACGGTTGGAATAATAAAATAACGATCAAAAAATTAATTTTTTGGGGTGAAAAATCACTCCCAAACGGGGCCTTAATACATTATCTCCCGTTTGCTACGGATTAAGATTCAAATTTTAATCTAAGAGTGGGTTGGAGCCACATTATTTTTTTAAGAATGTATTTCAGAATAGTAGATTGATGAAGAAGATGTGATTAAAAAATAAAGAAAAGGTTTGAATTAATATTATTTTATTGAAGAATGTATGATTAAAATGATATCAAATTACTGTTTAAGAATGTATTATTTTTTTTCAAATAATGCAACTCAAACATGATTTAAGTTAAAATCAATAATTAATTTTAAACATACTCCATGACCCCCACAATTTTTCAGCCACGGATTTCATCACCTTTGATCAAAATTTGTCAAAAAAATGATTTTATTCCCCCATCAAAGAGGGGCTATGTATACGTTACACGTAATATCCCTAGTGTTAATTATTGTTGGAAGGTAGCTATTAAGGATGTATAATGGATGAAGTGTAAGAATCCATCAAGATTATCTAATCTGAAAGAGATGTAAAATTTCCATGTTATCCATGTGGACCACCTTGATACCTTTCATATTTTTTCTATAAAATGGAGCCGTAAACTTGCAAATGCGACCTTTAATCATCTTTTTTCAAAACATGGGGCCTGCCTAAGTATTTTTCAATAACTTATGTGAAGTACAGTTAATTCTACCTAAACAAAGATCAAGGAAATCTTTGTGACCGACCGACCTGTAAATTGATGATATGATTATTTTGGCCACTTATTCCATTTGTACAAAAAACTATCAACAAAATTGAACTAAAAATCTCACACTATGCAGGTCCCATATTGTGATAAAAAAATGTCAAAAAATCGCCCAACCTCCTTATCGTTTCTTCTTTGCTGGCATTCCGTGAAATACAATTTTATACCTGCAGAATTGCTCTATTTTGGCTCCAACTCACGTCTCCGCCGGTGCCCGACTTATCTTTTTCGCCCCCCTTGCATCCCTTGGCAACTAATCTTTGCTTTATGTTTGAAATTTTACTTTGTAGTAGATTAAACGTGAAATAATAATATTTATATATTACATATATAGTCCAAATTAACGGATTACACTTTCTTGGAGTATTTAATACACCCGTAGTTTTATTTTTCTTTCTCTAATTGTCTAGTCATCATTAGTGTTGTCCTACAGTGAAAGATTAAAGTGAAAATTAGACCACGTAACCCTTCCCTATTTCCCTACTACCTTATAGTTAGTGTAACGGACACTATTAATGATAAATATCATTCCATAATTACCAATTTTTTTTATATCTTTCTGAATTTTTTGATTTTACTTGGATATTTTTCAGTTGTTCTGTAACCTCCATGTAATTTTCAGATTTCAATTTCGTTCATTGGTAAGACTCAAATTTTCCCAAGATTCAAGGCATCTAGCCAACCAATTTGAAATTTTTAACCTCAATTTTCAGTAACATGAACCAAGATAGGCCAAAACACTTCGACTCGTGTCCAAGTTATGCTCCACATAATTTTTCTAATTGACGACGTTTGCTCTCAAATTAGCAAATAAAAACCTTTTTAATCAGTATTTTTTCACAGCACAGAACAAATAAGATTGCGCATAAGATTTTTATACTTAAAACTGTTTAGTCCATATGAAAATGTCAACTTCTCTAAACTCACCAAGCTGATGGCAAAGAATTCAGACTATTAAGTAATTCAAACGAAAGCATTACTCTATTCAAATTGTACACCATACTTGATTAATTGTCCATAAGCATGCATGGAAACTGAAAAGAAAAACTCAGAAAGTTATATTTGCAATTTGCAACAGAAAGTTCAGAGGGAGTGGGGAACCTTTTTTCTTTAAGCAAGAAACATCTTATCACGGCTCAGCTGGTCACAGATGTCTTCATGGCGAGGTGGGTAAGTGCGCGTTTATGGTAGGTCTGGCGTAACTTTTTATATTTATGTACAAAAGCCGTAAGTTCAATCTCCCCATCCAGAAGTTGCCTGTGAAGGGCCTCAGCTTCCTCGTCACTTTTATGCATTGCCTCTGAAACAATAAATATCAATTACATTCTCTTGATTTTTTAAAATTATTTTACTTTTACATGGATGGTCTATTCATAAAACCACAAACAAGATAAAAAAAATTCCTTAATGTTAGTACGATGGTAAGAAGAAAGAACGAAAGCAGAAAACGCATGGGTAACTCTAATTCAGATTAGTAAGTCAAAATACAGTCAACACCCATCAGTCAGAACCCGCCTCTACCCCATCTGCCACCGCCAAAAGGTTTCCCTTGTGCAACTTCGAATCTATTGGCTATAAGACTTAGGGCATGTTCGGAAATTATTTTGAAAATTGATTTTTTTATTGTTAGAAGAAGAGTGGGAGCCACTTGTGAGAGAAGAAGTAAAAAATTACGGTTGGAATAATAAAATAACGATCAAAAAATTAATTTTTTGGGGTGAAAAATCACTCCCAAACGGGGCCTTAATACATTATCTCCCGTTTGCTACGGATTAAGATTCAAATTTTAATCTAAGAGTGGGTTGGAGCCACATTATTTTTTTAAGAATGTATTTCAGAATAGTAGATTGATGAAGAAGATGTGATTAAAAAATAAAGAAAAGGTTTGAATTAATATTATTTTATTGAAGAATGTATGATTAAAATGATATCAAATTACTGTTTAAGAATGTATTATTTTTTTTCAAATAATGCAACTCAAACATGATTTAAGTTAAAATCAATAATTAATTTTAAACATACTCCATGACCCCCACAATTTTTCAGCCACGGATTTCATCACCTTTGATCAAAATTTGTCAAAAAAATGATTTTATTCCCCCATCAAAGAGGGGCTATGTATACGTTACACGTAATATCCCTAGTGTTAATTATTGTTGGAAGGTAGCTATTAAGGATGTATAATGGATGAAGTGTAAGAATCCATCAAGATTATCTAATCTGAAAGAGATGTAAAATTTCCATGTTATCCATGTGGACCACCTTGATACCTTTCATATTTTTTCTATAAAATGGAGCCGTAAACTTGCAAATGCGACCTTTAATCATCTTTTTTCAAAACATGGGGCCTGCCTAAGTATTTTTCAATAACTTATGTGAAGTACAGTTAATTCTACCTAAACAAAGATCAAGGAAATCTTTGTGACCGACCGACCTGTAAATTGATGATATGATTATTTTGGCCACTTATTCCATTTGTACAAAAAACTATCAACAAAATTGAACTAAAAATCTCACACTATGCAGGTCCCATATTGTGATAAAAAAATGTCAAAAAATCGCCCAACCTCCTTATCGTTTCTTATTTGCTGGCATTCCGTGAAATACAATTTTATACCTGCAGAATTGCTCTATTTTGGCTCCAACTCACGTCTCCGCCGGTGCCCGACTTATCTTTTTCGCCCCCCTTGCATCCCTTGGCAACTAATCTTTGCTTTATGTTTGAAATTTTACTTTGTAGTAGATTAAACGTGAAATAATAATATTTATATATTACATATATAGTCCAAATTAACGGATTACACTTTCTTGGAGTATTTAATACACCCATAGTTTTATTTTTCTTTCTCTAATTGTCTAGTCATCATTAGTGTTGTCCTACAGTGAAAGATTAAAGTGAAAATTAGACCACGTAACCCTTCCCCATTTCCCTACTACCTTATAGTTAGTGTAACGGACACTATTAATGATAAATATCATTCCATAATTACCAATTTTTATATCTTTCTGAATTTTTTTATTTTACTTGGATATCTTTCAGTTGTTGTGTAACCTCCATGTAATTTTCAGATTTCAACTTCGTTCATATGTAAGACTCAAATTTTCCCAAGATTTAAGGCATCTAGCCAACCAATTTGAAATTTTTAACCTCAGTTTTCAGTAACATGAACCAAGATAGGCCAAAACACTTCGACTCGTGTCACATAATTTTTCTACTTGACTACGTTTGCTCTCAAATTAGCAAATAAAAACCTTTTTAATCAGTATTTTTTCACAGCACAGAACAAATAAGATTGCGCATAAGATTTTTACTTAAAACTGTTTAATCTAATATGAAAATGTCAACTTCTCTAAACTCACCAAGCTGATGGCAAAGAATTCAGAGTATTAAGTAATTCAAACGAAAGCATTACTCTATTCAAATTGTACACTATACTTGATTAATTGTCCATAAGCATGCATGGAAACTGAAAAGAAAAACTCAGAAAGTTATATTTGCAATTTGCAACAGAAAGTTCAGAGGGAGTGAGGAACCTTTTTTCTTTAAGCAAGAAACATCTTATCACGGCTCAGCTGGTCACAGATGTCTTCATGGCGAGGTGGGTAAGTGCGCGTTTATGGTAGGTCTGGCGTAACTTTTTATATTTATGTACAAAAGCCGTAAGTTCAATCTCCCCATCCAGAAGTTGCCTGTGAAGGGCCTCAGCTTCCTCGTCACTTTTATGCATTGCCTCTGAAACAATAAATATCAATTACATTCTCTTGATTTTTTAAAATTATTTTACTTTTACATGGATGGTCTATTCATAAAACCACAAACAAGATAAAAAAAATTCCTTAATGTTAGTACGATGGTAAGAAGAAAGAACGAAAGCAGAAAACGCATGGGTAACTCTAATTCAGATTAGTAAGTCAAAATACAGTCAACACCCATCAGTCAGAACCCGCCTCTACCCCATCTGCCACCGCCAAAAGGTTTCCCTTGTGCACGTGCGGAGGACCATGTCAGAAACGAACAAAAAAGGTTCCCCCTTCCTTGTGTGTATTCACAGGGAAAACATCTGTGGGTTCTGTCTGCAATTTGGACATAACATAGCAGGCTTGTTCGTGGACATGCTTATTTGGATGATTTATCATGGAAATAGAAAACAATAAAGCTGAGGGTTGCAAGGGGTATAAAATGCCGACATCATGCAAGCACGAAGTACCATAACCAATTACTGATGAGCAAACAAGTGTTTGGAGGACTTCTATGGTGGTTAAACACTTCAGTAGCTGTATAGGGGACTGAATTTCGATGAGATGATCATGACAAGTTACATCAACTAAATTTAGGGAAATGGTCATGACTGGATATGTGCATGTCTGCACGATGTAGTGTATGCTGGCAGTAGTTAACTAGAAAAATGGTGCGTATACTGGGACGAATAAAAGCTTATCAGAATTGGTGGAACAGGCTTGATCTTGTTGTAAAAGTTTAGACAGTTTGCTAATGTGAATGAAATTCTATAGAGATAGAGGATGATTACAGCTGTATAAATACAACTTTCCCTCTAGCAAATGCAAAAATCTCTATAAAGGATGCTTACAGCTGTATAATTACAACTTTCCCTCTAGCAAATGCAAAAATGTTCATAGGCTATCTCCATCAACCTTTTATGCTCTTGAGGAGACGAAACACTATTATTTGAAATATACATTTTTCTTTTCTTTTTTTTTTTATGAAACACAACCTGACAAACCTCTAATTAATGGACCACGATTCCATTTCCCAACTTTTAAAGATTGAAATTTAAATGAAATGCCTAGTTATCTACCTTGAAGTTTATGGAGAAGGGATGCAGGAGAATAATTCTTCTCAGTCTCTTCTTTTTTTCTCTCTAATTCATGCAGCTTTTCTTGAGCAGCAGCCAGCTCAGTTGTTCGGATAATTCTGCACTGTACTTGGGAAAAGAAGAGTAGATAAATTAGTTCCACAATCATTATAAGTTCGAACTTCAAGGGAATTTCACAAAATCAAAGCTAAGAATATGACCTGATTCCTTAATTCCACCATGCGTGGTTCTTTTTCTAGATTATCTCCTACAAAACAAGATCATTTATAGAAGTACTATCTATATGCTTGATATTGCAGCTTAATAACATTATCAATGCAGAATTGACAATGAAGTAAATTAAGACCTTACTAGCAAGCTGCAGCGATTCGCTCCGCAGTTCATCACGAACCTGATTATGTAAAAATTTACAGGATGGAGAGCATGTCAAGTGTAATTGCACACATTAACACAAAAAAGACCATCTTGAGAGAATACAGTGTTAAGAAAGAATATAATACAGGGTCCATGTGCCTTTAATCATGAAAAATAACAAACATAGACGGGGTAAATCATATTCCTTATGAGGTAGAAAGTGGAAAGTTGGATATGAAGTATTCAGGGGAAAAAATACAAGACATGAGGAAAGCCAAACTCTACCTTTTCCAATTGAGTAGATATTGAAAATGGATCACATGAAATAAGAGAAATTTCCCCAGTTTTATGAAATTTGACATGCATCAAACTCAAACAACAAAGTCCAACATTGATACAGTTCCATCTACATGCAGGGGTCACTTATCCGATTACCAACTGATACAGTTACATCTCCATTTTCAATACTCTACAGGTTTACTAGACCATCAACTGTAATTACACATTTACTTTCACCTGGCGAAGCAATAATCCTAATGAACCATTATTGTAAACAAAATCTGTCGATGTATTTTCTCCAGAAAAGTACAAGGTTTTAATAGAGTAGTCAAACAGTATATATGCCCGACGTATTATGCACTCGATAAATGTAAAATAGAAATTATAATTCACCTGAAACTTCAAATATTCATTTCATTTACTTCTACATAACCTACCTAGTTATGAACTCAGTAAAATCTATTAAGAATTAATTGTTGATAATCACGGCCTAGAGCAAACAAGAAGAAAGAAACAAATATGATGAGAATAGAAAGATCCAACAATCAAAACTTACCCTGTCTTGAGTTTTGACGGGTTCAAGAGAAAGCAAGAGGCTCTGATAAGCACCCTTGTCAGACAACAGCTTCCGAAGCTCATCAACACTAAACATGTTAAACAACAATCCATCAAAGATTTACACAAGATCAACAAAGAGTAGCACGATATATTAATTTATAAATTTGTGTATCAAGAATAATGGTTTCATTTTCCATCTAAAAATTTACAAGATAAGACTTTACCTTTTATCTTTCAGCGTAGCAATGATGCCAGCAGCCTCTGCAGGTGAAACATTTGATAAAGAATTTGCTTGATCAGCAGGTCTTGGGATGCTGAAGCTGCTGGAAGTGCCACCAATAGATGTTGTGGGATGTGAAGAACTCGAGCTGACAACAGCTGGTGGATACCATGAATCTCTGGGCATTTCCTGTGGATGTGGCTGAGCTTGCTGCTCCTGAGAACCCCTGTGATAATGCAGTTAAAGCATAAAAGCATACATTTAACAGCAAACCCCTGTGATAATGCAGTTAAAGCATGAAAGCATACATTTAACAGCAAGCATGTGCTGTTTCAAACTAAACAATGAGAAAATAAGTTTAAAAAAAAAAAAATAACCGAAGAACTGATAAAAAGACTTTCAACTACTTGTTTCGAGTCTAAAGTTCCATCTCCCTTCGGGACTATGGATGATGATCTGTTCAAGGCTATAATTTTCTACATGACTGACTAGATCAGAGAATGAGTAACTCAATGCCAAAATGCCAATCATATTGAGATCAAGAAGGCAGAGTACATTCAGTGCAACATTTGGATATGTGATTACTCTTGCATAGAGAATGGTATTCCCCCCTCACCCCTTCTCTCTTCATTTTCTCCTTCCAAGTTAATCGGGAAATCCTACACATATATCAGCTAATGTTCCTCGGTTACTTACATTTCTTAAAACTTGAAGTAGCGATGAGTATAGACTGCTAAATTCCATAATCAGAAAACAATATTCAATGAATAATTAAATAAAACCAAGAGTTCACCCGTTTCCCAAAAAAAAAAAATTAAAGAAAAAAAAAAAAAAAAAAAATAACCAAAAAAAAAAAAATAAAAAAAAAAAAAAAAAAATATATATATATATATATAGAGAGAGAGAGAGAGAGAGAGAGAGAGAGAGATTACGAACTTATGCAATGCACAACCTGAAGTCTTCTCCTTCTCAAGAAAATTCTTAAACACCGCTCACGAGAAAACATATCACTACTTTAGTACTTTATAACCTTGAAGTGTTAATGAAAGAAACGATAAACTTTTGTAGAATGTATTATCGGAAAAGCAAACAGTTCTTCAAAAATTGCTGCCCTAACATAACGTTTTGCATAAAATTTCAGTGATTAAATTACTCAGAAATCTAGCACAATTTTAAACCCAAAAAGAAAAAAGAAGGAAACGGTGAAAATCGAATGAATACCAGAATTTGAACATATCTTCGAGGCGGTCTCAATTGTCGATCCTTCAACGCAAGATAATTGAACCTCAGAAAGATAATCTGCTCACCTGAAACTAATTTTCTTTTTTTAAAAAAATTAAAAATAAATTAGGACCTATTGGATTGCTTTGACTTTTATTTATACTTCACAAAATCTCCACGTTGAATCTGAAGCACGTTTGAGGCTCCGTTGGGCTTTGCTATTTCTACATCCAATTTGTTTCTACTGTTGTCAAAAAAATTATTGGATAAAAAAATAGTGTTTTTTTTTCTTTTAATTAAAAAACTGTCATATGACAAATTGCCATGTAGCAAATTGTAAAGGGTAACTATGTTCAAACCACATTTTAGTTGTATTTAGAGGTTTTAATCTTTGCTCATTATAATACTTATTTTTCTAACGATTTTTCATGTCATTATTATCATTAAACTTTCTATTAATTAAACACATTTTACATTTAATAATAATTTTATGTCCAAAAGTCCATTAAAATTGCATAGAATAATTTAAGTTCCCATTATATTTTTAAAACTAAATAAATAAAAAAGTACAAAAAATATTATTCCCTCATTTCAGAGTATGAAAATAAAATATTTTGATATAAATCATTATAAAGGACAATACATACTAATTAATAAAATGTTAAAGAAACGAATTCGATGAAAAAAAGTTAAAAAAATAATTGCTACACTGAGCAATGATTGAGGAAATTAACTGCAAATAAAATATGGTGAATATACTAAAAATTTTGATGGCAATATAATATAACCACCCAAGTGTAAACAAAGGTGTGCATACCAGGCATGATTCAGTTTTGTTTTACCCTTTCTTCTTTTCTATTCTTTCTATATTTTCATTTTTTAATCCTCTATGACCCTATGCCCATGAATTAATCTACCATTACATTGTGGATGATATCTATATGTAAGAAATCTAGTCAGTGATCTAAAGGAGTTTGTTTAAAATCAATGATTATAATTATTACCACGTCAAACAATGTCAAACTTAAATATCATTCATCATGTACGTGTAGAAAATTTGCTATCCTCATACCCTACCATGTGGTTATTGAGCGTTTTAGTGCAATGCCAATTTTTTTTTTCCCTAAATAGCCCAATTTACAACGAGGAAAAGAAGCTTTTGTTTGGACAAGATTTCTTAAAAATCATTTTCCTGATCATATATTCAAGGGTATTTATAAATTTTTCCAACTTTTAAATTATTGATCACTTAAAAAAATTATTTTTGACTAGAAAGGGCTCTATGAAACAAACAAAAAAATAGCATCCTCCAAAATTTTTTTAACAAATAACATTCTTCCATTAGTGACATTGACACAGTGATGCAAACCTTATTAGCACGGTCACTACCGAACCCACAGGAATTGACATCGGATCCTAAGAACGCCCAAATATGATCAAGGTTTAGGATTTAATTTCTAAACGATGAACTAAGCAACCGGAGATCTATTAAACCAACGACCTCTTGATCACAAAACCTTGAAATTTCACCCGAATTTGTGAATTTGAATTCCAAACCAATGGAGCAAAAAACCCTATAATAATGAAGATTGTAAAATTCCTTGATTGCAGGTGTTGTAATTCGCACTCAATGATTTTGAACGTCACAAGAAAATTAATCCCTCAATAAGTTCGATAATTTTTTCTTTGAAGAACAAAGAAAAGTGAAGCAAAGCTTTATGAAAAAACCTCAATTTTTATTCATATGAAAAGTCTTGTTACAATTGAAATAATAACTCCTATTTATATGAAAAACCTATAAAAACTAATTAAGGGCGGAAATTACTCTAAAAGATTACAAAGATGTCAAATAAATAGAATTTTACCATAAATAAAACACCTCCTAGGATTTTGAAAATCGCGTCCAGAAGTTGTACTATGCGGTCGCATAGAACAAATAGTCAGCCTCAATTTTATCTCGGAATTGGCCTATGCGATCGCATGGCTTTTAAGCTATGCGGTCGCATAGTTTAGTTTTTGAAACCTCCTATCCCTTGTGCAGAATTTTGTGACGATTTCAGATTGTACTCATGAAAGAAAATTCAACACTTGAGCTAAAAGTTATGCCTATTTTAATCTACACTACTAGTTTTTTCGTATATCGTCGAAAACTTTGAATCCAATGCACTGAACATAAATTTCACTTTTATGACTAACATGTAACTCGACCTTAAACTTGCAAATATCATTCTTTGTAGCTCGATAACCTCGATTCTTGATTGCATGATTTCATTGGCTGTGATCAAACCCGACTTTGCACTTCGTCTCTTCCCACCAATCATGGAACTTGTTACATTGCACGTTAATTCCCACATTTTGAATTCCAAAGCTTGATCATGAGATTTGCTATCTTTATCAACCCTTTTTAGTCTCCAATTATGCTCCAACCTTGGTCTCGACTGCTCGTCAACATTCAATAAATCTTTGGTAGGTCGACACCTATCTTGGATCATATCACACAGGTTCCAGCACAGATGACATGATCAATAGATTTCAACTCCACTTACGTCCACGCGATGTATCTTTTGCATACTTGGACAACCATTAAAAGCATAAGGCCATCTCTAGAGGTGGGAGAGGCAACTACGAGCAATTTGACAACCAAGTCAATCAACTTGCATGAGTTTATTTGATGTGAGACGTACGGAAGATGTGAGCTCCGATAGTGCTCGAAGATTGGGGATTTATAGGGAGCAATATTACTTGTTTGTAAAAATTGCATTACCTTCAAATGTTACTAGGTGTGAACTTTGATAGTAGAAGAATGGTTGTGTCCTCGTTCTCACAGGCTATGCGTATTCTCCTAGGTATCACTCCATCAATCCCAAGTTCAAGGACATTTGACTTTATAGAAAAAAGTAGATAAATAGAAATATTTCATGACTTTGTTGACCTGGCCAGGAAAAAAGAAGTTATCTTTGAGGATACTTATTAATTGAATTAAATCAAAATGGGTGTGATGTAGATACAGTTATGAGACTACTCTTATTCTTTATCCAAAAGAGGAGCTTGAAACTCTCTATTTTGAAATCACTAGTTGAATAGTATTTAATTTATGTTTTTTTTTTAAGAAAAATAGTTATTCTATAACCTATGTCTGACAAATTGATTGTGAAGCACCCACTTACACCCCACACGATCGCGACCGATCCATCCCGGTAGCGGCTGCAAAACAGCGCGAGTACTGCATTTCAACAGGATGGAACAACTTACGATAGGGGACGCAGATAGCTGCGGCAGGAGACGCAGGCAGGGAACGCAGACAGCTTGCAGCAGGGGACGCGGGCAGACTCAAGCTGGGGACACAGGCAGCCTGTTGGGCAGAATGCAAGCTGCCTGAAGCGGGCAATTTTTCAGCACATTAATGAGGTTTTTCCAAGTCCCGAATCAGCTATTTTAGAAGGAAAAATACATGAACCTGCAACCAGATATTTTGAAGATACAAGTGGGCAACTTGCACAACTTGTGCACTTGTGCCACTTAACCTACTTGGCCACTTGCAAGATATTATCAAGATGAAAGTTAAGATCAAGTTGGCAAGGATAATATCAAGATGCAAACTAAGTACGTGTTGTATCCACTTGCAAGAAAAATGGTAGAGAATGTCCACTTGATGACAACTAAGCATGAGTTGTAAAGTGGAATGCAACTTGTCAAAGGAGGTTTAAATGAACTTGCATCCAATGATGGCCCTTGGATCAAATAAATCATGGCCATTGATTTGTAAGCAACTTGTAAGGTTTTTATCTATAAATAAAGATGGAAGTCTCATTTGTAAATCATATAGAGTGAAGTGAGTTTTATTCATTAGAGAGATTGTAAAGTTTTCCTTTTCATTTATACAAGAAAAGTTTCCTCAACCTTACTTATTTTCCATATATTCCTTACTCCAAAATTCTTTTCTCAAAGTAGTTATAATTTAGCCTCATTGGTTAAATTATTTGTGAGCGTGGAAAGACTGACTTAACATTTTTTTGTGAGGGACGAAAATTGTCGAACGTTAAAGCTGCACGGTTCTAGTTGTTCGGGTGTAACGAAATTAGGCCTGTGACAAGTGGTATTAGAGCCTTGCTTGTAGGCTGTTATAATAGCGGATTCTCAACAAACTGTTGATATTGAGATTGAGGAAAACTTGAGGTAAAAGTAAGACGAAGGAAGCCACCAACATGGAGGGTAAACTTGACCAAATCATCGCAAATATGGGTGATTGGGTCGAATCTCTTGAAAGCTCCTTCGAAGCGTTGAAGGGACACGCCATTAGAAAGATAGAAACTCTACAAATTAAAGTACAAGAGGTAATGGACACATAAGCATCGTTGGAAAATGATGTCCAAACAATGAAAGATGATGTTCGAGCTGTGGTAGCCGGACAAGCCGCGATGATGATGATTTTGGTCGTCTCCAAACCAAAGTCTTGGATGCCGTTTCCGCCATGTATGGCCAAGTTAACCAATTGACCGTGATGATGGAAAGAATGAGCAAAGAGCTTGATCAATACAAGCAATCCACTGCCGGTACAAGCGTAGGTACCGCTTCAACTATTGTTGCCCCAAGGATTGAATACCCGAAGCCTAAACATTATGATGGACGACGGGATGCCAAAGATGTGGAAAACTTTCTATGGCAATGGAAGTCTACTTTGAAGGCGTAAATCTTGTTGATGAAGCCATGAAAGTCCAGACCACTTCTATGTATCTTATCGACACCGCATCTCTTTGGTGGCGTCGTAAGCATGCCGATGTTGAAAATGGAGCTGGCAGAATTGATATTTAGGACAAGTTCAAAAGGGAGCTAAAAAGGCAATTTTACCCTGAGAACGTCATGTACGAGGCCCGCAAGAAACTAAGGGAATTGAAATAAAAAGGGGACCATTTGTGACTATGTCAAAGAGTTCACGACCCTTATACTTCAAATCCCGAGCATGCTGAAGGATGTCTTGCAATTCTATTTCATGGATGGATGTACAACATGGGAGCGACAAGAATTACAATGTCACGGGGTTAAAAATGTAGGTGAGGCAATTGCAGTTACCGAATCTTTGGCAGAGTTCCAAAGGAGTACGGAGTCACAAGCAAAGACTTTCAAACCAATTAAAGGGAATTTTGGCAAAGGTGAAGGTGATGTGCGAAAAGACAAGCAACGGAGTAAGCCGGATTTGATGCCAAATCCCAAAGTTGATTACAAATCTA